TAATAATAAGAAGCAGAGTAAAAACAATATGTTCCCCAACTTCGTTTGGGGAACATAATAATAATAATAACTAGATGAGATCTCGTTGCGAGCAACGAGTGGGTCTTCCGTCCAATTCTTGATGAGATGAGATAAGATTTTGATTGCGATTTTCATTCTAAAATAATGATTTACCACAATCTGTAAAAAGACATTGAACATTAAAGTCTTTAAAAAATCGGCCTTTTACCCCTAACGGCCCCTAATTTTAGGAATCGGCCCTCTTTTTTCATATCATCTTAAAGATCTTAAGATTTTGAACATTTTGTGTTCAACAATTGTTCAGAAATTCTTTTTCGTTTTTGAGATATTAGAAAAAGAAATTTTTAGGGTCCAACCCTTCAACTCCTTAATGGGGACGTTTAGCAAAAAATGAAAGGTTGCATATTGTTTAGAACATTATTTTGAACATCTTTTGTTCAATATTGCTTATCAAAATATTTCTCCCTTTCGAGATATAAACCATCAAAGATTTAGCATTCTGGCCCCTTGTGGCCCCTAATTATGTACCATACGACATGGAAATCATAATATATAGTTGTAGATGGTTGAGATGAACATCTTTGCTTCAGTAATGTATTACAAAATATTAACCGATAAAGAGTTATCGATTGAAGACTTTTGGCCCCTCTTGGCCCCTAATTCGAGTGCACAGCCCCTTTTTCGGGATCTCATCTTTAAGATCTTAAGATTTTGAACATTTTGTGTTCAACAATTGTTCAGAAATTCTTTTTCGTTTTTGAGATATTAGAAAAAGAAATTTTTAGGGGCCAACCCTTCAACTCCTTAATGGGGACGTTTAGCAAAAAATGAAAGATTGCATATTGTTTAGAACATTATTTTGAAGAACTTTTGTTCAATATTGCTTATCAAAATATTTATCCCTTTCGAGATATAAAGCATCAAAGATTTAGCATTCTGGCCCCTTGTGGCCCCTAATTATGTACCATACGACATGGAAATCATAATATATAGTTGTAGATGGTTGAGATGAACATCTTTGCTTCAGTAATGTATTACAAAATATTAACCGATAAAGAGTTATCGATTGAAGACTTTTGGCCCCTCTTGGCCCCTAATTCGAGTGCCCAGCCCCTTTTTCGGGATCTCATCTTAAAGATCTAAGATTTTGAACATTTTGTGTTCAACAATTGTTCAGAAATTCTTTTTCGTTTTTGAGATATTAGAAAAAGAAATTTTTAGGGTCCAGCCCTTCAACTCCTTAATGGGGACGTTTAGCAAAAAATGAAAGGTTGCATATTGTTTAGAACATTATTTTGAACATCTTTTGTTCAATATTGCTTATCAAAATATTTCTCCCTTTCGAGATATAAAGCATCAAAGATTTAGCATTCTGGCCCCTTGTGGCCCCTAATTATGTACCATACGACATGGAAATCATAATATATAGTTGTAGATGGTTCAGATGAACATCTTTGCTTCAGTTATGTATTACAAAATATTGACTTTTAAAAAGTTATTGAATAAAAACTGTTGGCCCCTTTCAGCCCTTTATTTGATGAGTCAGCACATTTTTTTTGATATCATATGAAAGATCTTGAAATTTTGCACAAATGTTGTTCAGTATGTTTTAACAAAATATTTATATTTTAAAAGATATGATACAAAACGTCTCAAAAAATCACTCATAAAACGTGTCCTAAATTTTGACCCCTACCGAGCTTCCATACTAGGCACTTCCGGAAAATATCCTGACCATGTTGCAACGTGGCAACATGTCCTCTATCATCACTAAAAATTTCAGCTTTATAGCTTGAGCCATTTTTGAGTTCCATCACAGACAAGGAGGTCCTCCAAATTTTGATCAAAGGGCGATAACTCACGACCGGAAGTGAATTTCCAAATAAAAATTTGCCGGAATTAACTTCAGATGAAAACGCATCGACTGTGAAAATTTGAAGCAAATCGAACGAGCCATCTCCGAGAAATCGTCTGCACAAATTTTGTAAGAAGAAAAAAGAATAAAAATAATAATAATAATAATAATAAAGGTAAAAAAGAAACCGAAGAATAATAGAAGGGTCTTCCGCTGAAGACGGAAGACCCTAATAATAATAAGAAACAGAGTAAAAACAATATGTTCCCTAACTTCGTTTGGGGAACATAATTACACAACACAGTTAAGCTTACAAATGGATATATCGGCGATTTTTTAAGATAAAAAATACATACTTTAATTATTAGGATGGGCGATTCTTTTTAGGACTTCACTAATATCCAAAAATGTATTGTGGTTTAAATCTACATGTTGAGGACATTTAGATTTTTATTTAGACTTGTCACGTGATGTCGACGTCACATGAATTGAGCAATTATACTTGCAGTTTAGAGGTCATCTATAAATTCCAATATTGCAAGGACATAACCAAGTTAAAAAGTTTAGTTTAATCTATAATCCTTTTTAACACTAAATGTAGTTTGTGAAAAGTGCTGCGAATCTATATAGATTCCCTTTTTTAATTGCTAAAATTTAAAATGTTGGACGACAGGTTGAATATTTTGCTGGTCAACAACATTAGATATAGCTATAATTAATTTATTTGCAAGATTTCATGAGGTTTGCAGCACTTTTCAAATATCTTGATGCTTCTTGAATTTATGTGTAAAAACTTGACAAGATACAATGAGGGTATGCCCTTGCAAAAAATCGATTTATTAGGGCCCTTCCATAACTTTTTCAATGATTCTGCATACAAACACTTGCAAAAAATCGATTTATTAGGGCCCTTCCATAACTTTTTCAATGATTCTGCATACAAACACACTACAGTATCACTTGTGTGGAGAATGTATGGATAGTTTATAAATAAAATACTAAAATAGACATCGAATCCAAGTTAACGGCCTTTTATTTAATTGCAAATAATATTTCATTTCAGAACAAATGACATTTTTCAGTATACAAAATGTGACTTGATCAGCTTCTCGCTGTGTACAAACTGCGTCATTTTTGCGAGATGACGTCACATTGACAAGTGCATTGCAATAGATGCATTGTTTATATACTGTTGTGTGGGATTTAACAAACGACAAAACTGCATGTAATAGTAAATTTGTATGTAGTATATAGCTATCCAGCTGTTTGAAATTGCAAATAATTTCATTTTGTGGTATTTTGAAGGCCTTGTATTATGTGTGACGTCATAGTAAACAGTTCCCGTACAAATTAGGCCCAGCCTCCTTACTTTAACCTTAACTGTGATTTCATAGAATTAATATACTTGTCTGATGATATTAAGGATAAATAAACATTTAATTTTTTCGGGAGGCTAGTCTGCAATATACGTTAACCTGGTAGTTTTAGTTTAATATAAATCATAATAAACATTTTTACAAATAACGAAACTCAGCTCAACGAATGTTTCTTTTAATCAAAAAGACAAAGGATCACTTCATTATAAATAGGGATCTGACCTATAGGACCGGGCTTGGTTTTATTCTCTACAAAAAGCTTGTCGATTTCCGTTCTGATTAATGACATTAGGCTGAATACATATAACAATTTGTTTTTCCTAAATCTTTATTTCAGTGAGCATTCTTGATATAAGAAACACTAAAGAGATATCAAATCGTAACAATCCAATGTAAAATGTAATAATTGATATTTGTATTTACTTCTCATTGTGCATAAAGGTAATGTCTATTGTCTCTGAAATTCTATTCTTTATGTCCAAGCTATTTATCCGTGGATACAATAAAAACTTGTCATCAATGTGTGGAAATTATAAAGGCCTAAATGAAATCCAAGGGAGTGCATTTACTGAAATATGTAGCCAAAATCAATGTGATTAAATTCTAAGGAATATATACGGTTGAAATTCCTCGCAGCTCAATGCTGCCAAGAATACCCGTATTGAGTAACACACAGCGAGTTATTCTTGTCCTCGGAGAAAGTGTGCTTATTCTGAGGTTTGTTCCGCGTGATTGACAACTTTACATTGGATTGTTACGATTTGATATCTCTTTAGTGTTTCTTATATCAAGAATGGACATGCATAAGGGATAGAAAATTGAAGGAAAAATACATAAAAAGTGTATAAAAAATTAAAATAGTCTTTGAAAAGGCGAAATTTAAAACTTTATAAGTGTTGTACCACGTGGATTCGAACCCCCGACTTTAAAAAAGATAGTGTCCAAGGTATAAAAGTCAGCGCGTTTATCAACTGAGCTAGTCTGTCTATAAGAAGAAAAGGCATAAATTTAAAGCAGATTATGAAAATCTGGTTTCCTTATTTTTTGTAGTTTTTTGTGAATTTCGACCCCAGGGCAGGGGTGCCCCTAAAAAAATCTTATCTTAAATTATTCCATACATCCTAACCTATCAAAATATCACAATTTTATTTAGGGGCAGGCCTGCCCTGATGGACTTCAAGGCCAAAATTCATGCAAAAATCAACGCTTTAAAGGACAAAATGGTGTTTAGATCAACAATGGAGCTTTTTTGTAAAGTTGTAAATAATAAATTTTAGGTATGAAATACAAATTTAAAAAATTTAGACATATATACGGTAGAAAACAACAAATAAAGATTGATTTTTAAATGTCGCTTTTTCCGGGAAATTGTTCTCTCCTATAGGTCAATTCTTTTGTTAAAGCGAATACATCCTTATGTAACCAATTTGCCCCGGTTAGGTCTTGCAATAACTGATTAATTGAGTGTACATATCACGAAACCTAATCATTTACAACGACGGTCAAATCCAACATTCACAGCAAGCCTGATAGTGAAAATCGTTAGAAAGTGCAATCAAATGCATTACCAAGTGTTTTGAATCAATGTTTCTTCTATTTCTTCACTCTTAATTGATTACTTTTGAATTCAACCGTTAAATTGTCAAACGCTCTGTTTTAAAACTCAGTGTTACAAACTTACTCTCGCACTATTGCTTGAACATTTGTTGGTGTGTGAGGTTGGATTCCTAGCTATGGAGTCATCGAATATGTTGAGAGTACTCAGTCTTCTTACTTTTCTCCCATCTGTTCAGTCAAACACTTATGAAGTCTACAGGACTTTGCAATCAGATCTGCTGAGGAATTACTCAAAAGACATCAGACCAGTCAACATACAAACAGACAAACTACAGGTCAATATCAGCCTTAAATCGAAAGCCATTAATAAATTTGATGAAATTGACGGAGTTCTACATATGATTATTGCACTAAAGTTGAAATGGAGAGATGAGCTAATAAAATGGAATCCTTCCAATTATGACCAAGTGAGAATGCTTCGACTTCCTATGTCAAAAGTATGGACACCTCCCTTCTTCCTGATAAATTCTGCGGCCGGATTTCAAATGGATTTCGGGGATCCTGAAAAGCAGACGGTGATATACTTTGCCGACGGAAGTGCGCAACTTACTCCTGGTATACTGACGTCATCGGAGTGTTCCCCAAGTATAACGTATTACCCATTTGATAGTCACAACTGCAGCTTGCACCTTGCGACTTTTTTCCTGGAACAGGAAATTTCCTTGCAAATTAACCAATTCCTTTCTAATTATGTGTTTGAACATCATCCTACTTGGGAACTGGTTTCTGTTTATGGCCACAATTTTTCGAAAGGATACATGTCATTTGTCATAATTTATATGAAAATAAAGAGAAGACCAACTTTCTTACTGATAAACATTTTTGCTCCCATTTTATTTCTTGCATTTGCTAATCTTTTCGTATTTGCCATTCCAATTGAGTCCGGGGAAAGAATATCATTTGCCGTCACCATTTTGTTGTCGTTAGTTGTGTTCCTAACATTAGTCACGGATAAAATGCCACAGACCAGTCTAACAGTGTCGTTCTTCTCGGTCTATTTACTTCTTATGATCACCTACAGTTTCTTAATAATCCTGGCATTAGTGTTTGTTCTTGGGATTTATCACAAAGAAGATGAAAACAAGATTGGAATGCTGAACCGTCTTCTATGTATTTTGGAGAAAAAAAACTCCATAACAGCTCAGCCTACCACCGCCTCTGGATTGGGAAACGAGAATAGGGAACCAAGAAATGAACAACAAAGATGTTCAAATTCCACTGGAACCAATCGAATGAAAAGACTGGCTTCTGCATTAGACAGAATTTGCCTCATGTTCTTCTCCGTATTTCTTATTCTCATTTCGGTCATCAATATTAGCATTCTGGCATTTACGTAACGCACATGTATCATCTTATCATTTGGCTTTTAGTGTTTCTACATTTTTTAAAAAAATTAAGTATATATCGATAATTTTCATATATTACAAATATATTATATATGTCTAGTTGTGTGGTTGGCTAAAATCCAACATTTTTAAAATCAGAAATATAGCCTATTTGAATTTGGCACAATTTCATGACATATTTTATTTGAGCTTTTATCTTATTTTTGTTGCAAAATGGTAGAAAATTAAATTACAAGAATGAATTTAATAGCTACTGAATCTATGTAGTTTAATCAGGCTTCGAAAAGTTTACGCTTTTTTTAATAGACTGCGTATGTTCCTTGAGAAAAAGTAGAAAATGTTAAAAGTCTAAGACATACTGGCAACTAGCTAGACAAACAGGTACAATATTTGAACAATTACGTTTTCAGCTCAGGTGCGACAAAATTTCTATTGAAACAAACTGAAATGTATCAGCTAAACTTAACTGCAAATTAAAGACCGATAAATGATTTATCTTTACACAACTGTATATTTCGTAGACAGAGAACATGCTTGTCATATTTTTCGCACATTCAAATTGTTTTCTTTTTTTGTTTTGAATCGTAATAAATAAATTATGACTTTGTTCTTCCTTTGTGAATTTCGATAACATTTGTAATTAGTTATTTCTGTGTTTATCATTAGCATTACGCTAAAGAAATACAACAAGAGGCCCAGGGGCCACAGCGCTCACCTGAGCACATCAGGCTTGAATTTACTCCCCCCCCCCCTCTAGGCCTTCATCATTTGAACAAACTAGAATCTACACTACCTGAGGATGATTCCATATAAATATCACTAATCATAGCTTTGAAGTACTTGAAAAGAAGATTTTAAATATTTTTTATATTTATATATCCCTATGTAAAACTTGGGTAGGCCATTTTGGCCCCATCCTAGCCCCGGGGGTCATGATTTGAACAAACTTGAATATACACTACCTGAGGATGATTCCACATGAGTGTCATCTTTCCTGGCCCAGTGGTTCTGGAGAAGGATTTTTAAAGATATTTCCTATATATTCCTATGTAAAACTTGGGTCGGCCATTTTGGCAACACCCTTGCCCCGGGGGTCATGGTTTGAACAAACTTGAATCTACACTACCTGAGGATGATTCCACATGAGTTTCATATTTCCTGGCCAAGTGGTTCTGTAGATGATTTTAAAAGATTTTTCTTAAATATTCTATGTAAAACTTGGGTCAGCCATTTTGGCCCCAACCTTGTCCCGGGGGTCATGATTTGAACAAACTTGAATCTACAC